AAGAGACACCTAATAAATAATATATCAATGAATAATACTGGGTTTATTTTATTTGTCGACTTTAACTTCTTCTTTTTTATGATTATTCCATTGTGTGTTGGATTGATAATAAATCATATCTCAAATCAGAATAAATTATTAATACTAGTGATACAAAAAATTAGTTAAGGTTAAGTTTGGATTCCCTAACTCGGACTCTACAGCCCATGATCACTAGTTCAGGGTGTGTAGGTCAAGAATCTTCAGTAACGAGACCCTCGTTTACACGATAATTACAACAATTGTCACCCTCTAGAAGGTCACGTCACACTTAAGAAATATAACCAATAACGGTCAAATATTTTGACATATGGGTCACAACTTGCCTTAAGGGGAATCAGGCTGGGAGGGCATCGATTATGGAATGATCGCAGAGATCACACAAACACAATCAAGCAAAACAATTGTACACTATAAATAAGGGTTTAGTTCCTTACATTTGTAATCGAGCAATCATCAGTATATGTACTGTGTGTAATCTCTTTCCTCCAATTAATAGATAATTTTCCCAAAATAAGAAATTTCATTAGAGTGGACAAGTCAAGTTTCTGAGCTAGTGAATCATAATTTCTCTATGATACTTTTTCTTAATTTGAATGTCATTTTAGTGAATTATAAACATAGATTAAAAATGATTGCAGTGTAATAACAGTAATTACAAAGATACACTTTATAATTATAAATAATAATAATAATAATAATAATAATAAGGGAATGCAAACCTTGAAAAAAACAACTAAAACAGTGTGACTGCACAAACACATCAAGACTAACAGAAGGAAAAAGCGAAATTTGTGGCCGCTTGCCCCTAAAGCTGAATGCTATAAAATATTCTATATATCAATTCAAATCATTTCAAGACTCGTTCAAATTGCAATTGACTTAACAACTCCACATCTTTTGTTGTACAGTAGGGGTTCTATTTTTTGAAACAACATTATTTTACGTACAAAATGATGCTGTTTTATTTATAAAATAATATTATTTCATCTATAAAGTGATATATAATTTTTAAAATAACGTTGTTTTATATATAAAACGATATCATTTTAAGGAACAGTACTCTCTATTTGTATAATGGAGGATTTGTTTTCATAATTTATTCATAAGGGTCTACTTCTTTTTCTTTTTAAAATTATTTTTATTATCTTTACAACAACCAATTCAAATTGATGACATTCACTCTCTTGAAGTGGGGTTAATCACCTCAAATAGATCCGAAGGTCTATATAAAAGTCTACTTGACTCATTTGTAAATTATATAATGATGGGCTTGGCTCGGACCAAACCCAGAATTACAAACCAAGTCCAGAATTGCAGATTAGGCCCCAATTATACACATCTCAACACACTATATCTTATAAATAATAATATTCTCCGACTACAGTACCATTCTCAGTGGAATAGGTCATCCATACAAAACTATCTAATCTTTATATTTGTTTGTGTTGAGTCCTCTTAACTTCATCCTTGATTGATTTTGTATAAACATTTTTGTGCACCATCATATATAATTGACTTTTATCGCATTAAGTCACATACATTCAAATTGATAGCATATTATTGCTAAATGCATACAAGACTAAAGTAGCGTGAGTGCTTGGAAAAAAAAAAACTATTTCACTAGATTTTTTTTGTTTACATGACTAGTTCAATCCAGTCATTATCAATGCTAATCAATTGTATTATTTACAAATTTATGTGCTTTTCATGTCGATAGATTAAGTTGAAACTCCATCAAACAGAATGAAAAATTGAAATTTGGTACCTCTTGCTTCTAAGCTGTCAATTTTTGCAAAGCTGTCTCCATGCAATTAATGGAGGACATAGTAGTAGGGTAGGTGTGTAGTGTTACATGGGTGGGCTCAGAAATTTTATTTAGGATGAACACTTTAACTTTTTTTTTTTTTATCAATTACACTATATAATATATTTATATTAATTATAACTCGTGTCTGAAGGCACGATAAAATATAAAATTTGAAGATCTAAAAAATCGAACTCACTGTATTAAATAATAATTTTTCTTTCTTTTATTTATTTGATTACATCATTTAAAATTTATTTTTATCCATTATTTTTTTAAAAATATTAACAAAAATACATAATTCGATAAATTTTTTCAACATGTGTATACTATTTATATATGAATAATGTCTGAAATAAAAATTATGTTAAACTAATAGGTGATAAGATGGTTCTAGAAGGGGGGGAATATGTATGTGATAAAATTTCAAACACCTAGTTGTTTTATTATATAGATTTATTATATTATATTTGATACATGAAGTCCATTTAACATAAAAAAATGTTAAAAAAAAATATAAATTGTTAGAGGTGGAGCTATGAATATCTATGAGGGAGACAAAATATAACTGGTATAAAAAAAATATTTAACCGAAATTGACACAAAAAAATGTTGTTCAATAATAACAAAAAGATAAGAATTAAAATAAAATTATTGTGAGATAGTAAATTTAATTTTTATTTAGTCAATGTTACAATGACCAGATTATGAAAGTGAAAGTAGATTAGTATCGTACGTTCAAAATTTATTATTTTAATGAATGTTTTTATAAGTTTAGTGATTTACACTATGTCGCATGATTCATCAAAAACAAGCCAATGAATTGGGGCTCAAAACGTGAATCCCCGGATCCAAATCAGATTCGGCCGAAAAATTGTAAATTCAAAAAATTGAATTACGAATTCAAATACTTAAAACTAAGGACCTTCGGAAGTCGGTACATGAAATTGAACTTAATTGTCAAAAAATATATAGAAAAAAATATTTTGTAAAAAAAGCTCACTCAAGTCCTAGAAAAACTTGAGTACCCTTTTTATTGTAAATAATTTTCTTAAACAAGATTTTGAAAAAAAAAAAACCTTTCATTTAATTATCTCTACAGTACCCGGTATATTTGTCTCTCATGCACCTTCATCTTCAAAATAGATGGTGCAAAAACTGTTCATCTCTCTCGCTCAATATATGTGTTCTACTAACACATATATACGTCATCAAATTAAATCTAATGTAAAATTAAAATTATTTATAAGATAATTAAAATTCTTTTATTTTAGTTGTCAAATTTTAAAAGTCTTCAAAAACTTTGAAACATATCTCTTAAAAAATGGAGAAAATTATTATGAATTTTAATTATCCTAAATTTTAGGTTTTTATTTTATTAGAACTCATATATATATATATATATTCAACGAAAGAGAGGTGAACAGTTTTTGCACCAACTCTTCTTAAAATGAAGAGGCGTGAGAGACAAACACATCTAGTACTGTAGAGATAATTAAACGTGGAAAAAATCAAATTAATTGCTAAAAAAAATATACATGACTTAAAGGAGGGCAGAGATCTCAAAAGAAAATTACAAAAAATGAAATCGAGTACTTCACACAATTAAATTCTAAAATTGAGAATTTAATTACCTAACACTAAAAAATGCATATTTTTTGACAATTAAATCTAATTTTATGTATCCCCTACAATTTCTTCTTATAACTATTGGGAACAATTCCATGACTTCAACATATTTTCATCTCATTAAAAAGTAGAACCTAAGCCCAAGTGAAGTTTTCAACTACACTAGGCCCAATATCAAAAGAGCAGAGCACATTCCCTACTTATAGCTGACCACCCATTCAATATTTTCCTCAGCCACCGAACTGGGATTCCCCCCACTTATAGGCTATTGCCATTCAACCAATTGTTAAGGCCAACGACGTGGGACGGATCCTTTGCTTTTTTTTTTTGAATCAAAACTGAAGTTAAATCCTTTCCTTGTTTCTTGAATCTTTTATTTATTTCTTTACCACTAATGAATAATATTATTTCTCATTTTTCGACGCTCTAACTAACACTTAATTTTTTAATTTTTTTTTTTTTTTGATTTTGCACTCTTTTGTTGCTCTTGCTTCCGCTCTATGTGGTATAGGATATACATGTACCTATATATAAATATATATGATGTGGGAGCGAGAGAGAACAACAAAATGAGGAGGAAGAAGATGAAAGTTTTTTGGTTATATGAATACTTTTGATCAATTAAGAAATAAGGGTTGTTTACTTTGGTTGCATAGAGAATAAAGGTTGTTTCGATGAAGGGTAATTGAGTAATTTTCATGCATTCCGCTAATTTGGGCGAACATGTAACGATTTCAGTTTAGTCCAAAATATAACCCAAAAAAAAAAAAAAGTTTTGTCCAAAATTATTGGGGCTTTCGTCGAAGTTTTCAAAATATGGGGAAGTAATTTCTAATTAGGCCGAACCATAGGGAGGTAATCCGTAGTTAACCCTGAGCTAAAAGTACACAAAGGGCTTCTTTCCAAACCCTTTAAAAACTCCTCATAGGGATGCCACGCATGGAACTGCAAAAAAAAAAAACACAGTCTAGGATAAATTTCATCCATGCCCTCTTTAAATTGCCCTATCTTTAAAAATACTCCATGTGTTATCTGAAATTTTATTAACACCCCTTATCAATATTTGTCTCTTAAACTAGGATTTGGAAATGGTATTTTTCACTTTTTTTTGCCAATACGAAATTTCAACATTTACTATAGTGTAAGTACCACTATGTTATAATACATTAGTGTATTAGATAATGTACATGCCTAAAAATACTATGTAACACAAAACACCGCTTATCAAAAATATTAATCTAAAAAAATAAATACTTTTTCTTTTTCTATAGCTTTTGTTCCTAGAAATATTATCATCAAGAAACAAAGTGCAGTCACCATAGGTATAGCTTGCCTTACAAATCAGCACATGAACTGAAACATAATAAAGCAATGATGGAATTCTTAAGCCAAAATCACAGTGATAACATTTATATAATAGTGACATACACCAAATCAAAAGTGTGAACTCACTTACTCATTGAAATTCACAAACAAAATCTCGTAACGAAATCAACATGCTGCTAGAACAGGAGCCATCCCTTCCTTACTTGAATATAACAGAAATTGGACTTCTAACAATGTGTTTGACAGAAGTCCATCTTAAGAATCCTTGAGCAGATGTGGTATTCCTCCCTGTGATTGATTTCCTAAATGTAACTTGATATGTTATCTTCTGGTTCATCTCTGTGAAGTCTAGCCTAGAGGGCGTAACCCTCACATCAACACCCTGTGGTGGAACAATCTCGACAGTGTAAGTTGAAGTTGCCTTGCCAACATTAGTCACCGTCCTTGTGTTTGTCTGGTTGGTAGACCCAAGTGTGATAGCAAATGAAGGGTAGTTTAGCTGTGCTTCAGGTATGGTTGATACCACTGAGCAATTCACACTCTGTTGTGTGATGACACTAATTTGTCTATTTGTGTAATTCAAACCACATAAGTAAAGAATGTATTCATCGGGTTGGACGTCATAAACAAGCCCCGGATCATTGGCTCTTGATGGGTTGACATGTCCTGCACCAATGGCAAAGATGTTCGCGGGAAGTAGCCTTTCATCGAGAATGGGCTTGTTAGCAAGATTTAGCTGATCAGCAGTAGTCATGATTGCAGACTTGATGGCAGCAACAGACCAATCAGGGTGTGAACTTTTGAGCAATGCTACTTAGATGAGGACATGACATTGAAGTACCTGAAATAATGTTAAATGTCAAATCTGTATTGGTGTTGTTTTCCACAGAGAAAGGCCATGCAGCAAGAACGTCCACACCAGGACCGATAATGTCACGCTTCAAATTCCTGGACTTGCACGGCTAGGGCCCTTGGAGGAGAAAGAAGAAACCATTGGAGCATTATTAGCCCCAATTACAGTTCCCTTGAATAAGATTGTGGCCATTGGACTTGATGTCGAATTTATATAGGCTTTGATTTTCAATCCGTCAGTGTAACTAACATGTGCTGTAGGAAGGACATGAGCTTCAGCTGCAAGAGTGTTACCTCTGGACTCCGGAGTAATGAGAATCATCGCAGCACCACCAGCATCCTTTACAGTTTGTCCTTTGGCAATTCTTGATGTCGAACCACCAACCTCACAAATTACTACCTTCCCAACAACGTCAGTGTTGTTCAATGATCCTGTGCCACATAATGGAGCTGTTTGAGTTATTCGGCTACTGTTCGATCTTGGGTAAACAAGTGGCAATAAAGTTGAAAGAAAATCTTTTGGCTGAAAAAGTGACTCCCCATTGAATTCCTCAGTGTTTCCTAGCAGTGCAGTTGCCCTTATGCTTCGGTCCATAGTGCTTGCACCAACAGTGAGAATCCATGGGGCATCATTCGCTAGTGAGGCATTGATAGGGCCTCGGTTACCAGCTGAACAGCTTACAAAAATGCCTTTTTGCATTGCACTGAATGCACCAAGTGCAATGCTATCATCATAACAAGGGTTGGAAATTCCGCCAAGGGAGAGTGAAAGTACATCTACACCCTCCTCAATAGCAGCGTCCATTGCAGCCAATATGTCACTGTCTCGACATCCAGCGTTACATACTTTGTATGGCCAAGTGAGCTAGAGGTGCCATACCAACTGCGGTGCCATTGGCATTGCCAAAAACATTGGCACCTTTCACAAAGTTTCTGGCAGCTGTGCTGGCCGTGTGAGTACCATGTCCATCATCATCGAATGCTATCTCAGTTTCCGCACTCACAAAATTTCTTACACCGATGAGCTTGTTATTACAAGAAAAAGTGCTATTGAGTTTGCACTTTCCCTTCCATTTAGCAGGTGGAGATGGCATTCCTTCATCGCTAAACGAAGGATGGTTCGGGAATATTCCGGTGTCCAAGACCCCAATAATCACACCTTTACCATAATTTGAGCTATTCCAAAAGCCTAAATTTTGGTGCAATCCCAAGAAGTTAGGAGTGTGGGTTGTATGCAAAGACAATACTCTTTGGGGTCGGGCAGCCACAAAGCCATCCTTCTTTTCCATGGCTTTTACATCTGCTAGGGACAATTTGGCCGCAAACCCGGTTACCACGTTACGGTACGAGCACATTATGTGCGGTGGTTCATTTGAGCTTGCGGTGGTGGTTGACAAAAATGACTGATACCAACTTTTCAAATCTTCGGAATGTGTGAAAACTTGGTTGTCGGACATCTTGACATGAACAATGTAAGTTTGTAGACTGTTTTGCTCCACGGAATCAGTCGCCGATGCTGCCAATGGATTGAAACTTAGTGTGTAAAAACTGAACGAGAATCACCATGAAAGCCATGTTTGGCAATACCCCACATGATCTTTTCTTCTCCATTGACGTTGAAGAAGTACTAGAGAAAGATTAATGCTTTATGTTTCAAGATCAAACAGAGCATAGAGCACAGAGGATTTGTTGTGATAGTTTGTATATTCGAGGCTTGTATACATAGTGTTTTAAGTGTACAAATCTGTGGAATTGGCTAATAAAATAATTGTAATAAAAAAATGTGATTAAATGAGCTTCTGGAAGAATTTAATTAGTCTTTGCGTAGTAGACCATTTCAATTGTTTGACTACTTTAACCGTACCAAGTCAAGTTGACAGACCAAAAGTACAGTTCTTTTGGATCTAATATCATCGATAAAGACAATTTCGTGCTCATTAAGAATATGTTTTTTTTTTGATAATCCATAAACCCCACCAACCAAGCTCATGTGGACCCGTGATGGATTGTCAACCAAAACCCACGCGCAAAGCATCATCTCCACCGAACGAGCGCTAGAATTTTAATAAATTAAATTTAAATTTCAACTCAATTTGATGAATATATATATATATATATATATATATATATATATATATATATATATCATAAAACAACTCATACTTTGAATTTTATGCCAATCATATTTTTTTCTTCAAAATCATCGCCAATCACTTATCTCACCAATCATTCTTTTGTCATACTCAAACGTCAAATTGCATCGCTAATTTTTATCACATGTTTAATCATTTATATATTTCCTTTCTAAAAATATCACATTACTCATTTTTATCATATGTTTAATCATTGAATATTTAATTAATTCATAGTTAATGTAATTTTTATTTCAAACATTATTCATATATAATAGTATACACATGTTGAAAAAACTTTAATATAGTGAGATTGATTTTTTAGAAGCTCAAATTTTATATTTTATTGTACTTTCAAGAACGAATTATGACTAGTATATATATATAAATCACTAGGTCTAATATGTGTTGGAATATTTAGAAACATATAATACGAATGGAATCATCATATTCATGTCCAAATTCATGACATATGACAGAATTTTGAGGGAGAAAATATGACTGAAATAAAATTCAAACACACTCTTATTTTATTATATAGATGTTATTCAATCTTATTTTAAGTTGTACTTTTTTAAAAGTACAATGTATAATGAAAGTCTAAACTTAATTATACTAGACATTTCACATATATTCCTTGGACTAACCATGGTACGGTATAACTATATTATATGCGGGTGGTTCGCTTGATGCACATCACACACAATCTACTGAGTTCCAATGAAGAATTTCAAGAGTTATCTTAATAACGACATTGTTAGACTATGTCACTATCATATCATTAAGTCAACAAATTATATTAATTTTTTAGGTCTTAATAGTATACATGCTATATATATATATATACACACACACATGCTACGGTTTCATCCTATTATTTTAAAATTACAATCTACGTAATGCAAGAATAAAATAATTATGAGAAAAAACTTTGATTGGATGACCTTCTGGATGAATTTTAGTAGTCTTGATGCGGCTAAGTTTAACATTATCAATCCCTTTATACGATTTAAAATATTTCAAATGAAAATACTTTGGTAAAAATTCTAAATGTTTTGCAAACTAAATGTTATTAAATTACTTGTTTAAAAAGTATAGCATTCCATGGTTTAATTACTTGAGTTTTACAATTCTTTTTTATAGAATTGATTTAATTGAAAATTTTTTAAACGTAATTTTACGAGTTGTGCGAGGACTTAAACGATTTTCGAGGGGTATTGTTTGTATAGGGAAATCTCTTTTTGAGAATATCTTTGTTTGTTTGTTGGGTATATGTTCATTTGCAAGTGATTAGACCATAGTTGAATATTTTTCATTTATGAAACTATATAAGATAATTTACTTACCTGAAAAGAAATTGGAATTGTTGAAAAGTTCCAATTATTAGACCTAGTTTAATATAAACTGCATGGGAGGACTGTCTCATAAACTAAAGTCTGTCACTACTATGTGCTCTTCACTCCGTCAATAGATTGCCTATTATATCATGGACTTGACTACGGTGCTGCACCCTACTTTTTGGTATGGTATGAAAAGTAAGGGACTTCTTTTATTTGTCATCTGTTTATAAAAAAAACTATAAAAAAACCCATAAAACTAAAAGATCGGTGAAACCAGTGTATTTATTTGAATTTTAAAAGATAGATGAAAGGTGAAAATTAGTGAAAAAACTTGTGTGTTTTAATGATAACTTTTGGGTGTGGTTAGCACGTTATTGAGTTGAGGTTAGCGTGTTTTAGGTTTTGGTTAACACGTTTTGGATGAGTTTATCACTCTATGGGATGAAGTTACCATCGTTAGAGTGATATTTTACGTGCGTGTTTTTATATTTATAAGTTAGTATTAAGAGTTTGAATTAGTTGATGGGTCACAAATATAGTATTAATTGGTTTCTTAAGTAGTTATTTAGGTAGTGAGGCCAATGAATTTTGTAACTATCTTTTAGGTATTATTTATTTGTATTTAAAGACATTAGATGAATGATAACAGATAACTGATATTTGCGATAAACTTTCTTGTGAAAGGTTTGGGAGTTTAGGTTCTCCTCGAAGTGAACCAACAAAGGTTTTTACTCCCTTCGAAGCGAATCTCTTTTTTCTAATTCTATTTTTCTTTTAGTTTCTAAATCCCTCAAAACCGTGTATGTAACAATTAGTATCAGAGCCAACGAATCNCAGTGTATTTATTTGAATTTTAAAAGATAGATGAAAGGTGAAAATTAGTGAAAAAACTTGTGTGTTTTAATGATAACTTTTGGGTGTGGTTAGCACGTTATTGAGTTGAGGTTAGCGTGTTTTAGGTTTTGGTTAACACGTTTTGGATGAGTTTATCACTCTATGGGATGAAGTTACCATCGTTAGAGTGATATTTTACGTGCGTGTTTTTATATTTATAAGTTAGTATTAAGAGTTTGAATTAGTTGATGGGTCACTGATATAGTATTAATTGGTTTCTTAAGTAGTTATTTAGGTAGTGAGGTCAATGAATTTTGTAACTATCTTTTAGGTATTATTTATTTGTATTTAAAGACATTAGATGAATGAGAACAGATAACTGATATTTGCGATAAACTTTCTTGTGAAAGGTTTGGGAGTTTAAGTTCCCCTCGAAGTGAACCAACAAAGGTTTTTACTCCCTTCGAAGCGAATCTCTTTTTTCTAATTCTATTTTTTTTTAGTTTCTAAATCCCTCAAAACCGTGTATGCAACAATTAGTATCAGAGCCAACAAAACTATTAACCATTAATGATTTTAAAGTTGATGCATGATAATCTCCAAAAATCATTTAATAAATTGATTGAGGAAAATCAACATGCTAGAAGGATTCAACAGGGATCACAAAATTCAACAAGAAAACTTTAAAGCCAAAGAAGTCACGGTAGAAGAGAAGACTGAATCAATTACAGCACATAAATTAGAGCAAAGAGGCATGCTCAGACGAAAGAGAGGAAAAATTATTTTTGGAATCGTGGTGCAGGCGACACATGGGCACAATGTTGCAGCGACATCTAATGGTGGGACACAATCCTACTCCATGATAGGAGCTACATGGCATCCAATTGAGAGGTATCGAGTGTGAGCCGTGCAAAGGATTTGTCGCCAAATAGCCCACTGGTGAAGTGTCTAAATGTGTTGATCATGTCGATTGTTACATAGATGTGGGAGTGGGTTGGCCTCCTACGTGATCAATTAAACTTTGGGGACAAAGTCTTTTAAGGGAAAATGATTGTTATGTGCGTATTTTTTATATTTTTATAAATTAGTATTAGGAGTTTGAATTTGTTAATGGGTTAGTGATATAGTATTAATAGGTTTCTTAGATAGTTATCTAGATAGTGAGGTCATTGAATTTAATAGCTATCTTTTTAGGTATTATTTATTTGTATTTAAAGACATTAGACGAATGGGAAAAGATATTTGATATTTGAGATAAACTTTCTTGTGAAAGGTTAGGTTCTCCTCGAAGTGCACCAACGAAAGTTTTCACCCTCTCGAAACAGGTCTCTTTTTCCTAATTTTATTATTCTGTTTGTTTCTAAATCCCTCGAAATTGTGCACATAATAGGTTACCATGTTTTGAGTGACATTACCACTTTTTTGAGTTTAGTCACCATGTTTTTCAGATTTTGATAACACCTCGATGTGAGGTTACTATTTTTCGAGTGAGGTTATCACTTTTTTGAGTTTGGTTACCACGTTTTAGGGTTTGGTTAGCACGTTTTGAGATGTGAGGTAATAACTTTTTAGTACGAGATTACAATTTTTTTGGTGGGTGAGATTATAACTTTTGAGTTGTGGTTACCACATTTTAGGGTAAGGTTACAATATAAATTGGATGTTACATTATTGATTTGATGAACTGAATGTTTATTGGATGATTTGAGATGCTAATTTGATGAATTGAGTGTTAATGGGATGAATTTCGATATAAATTGGATATATTAAATATTACTTGGATAAAATTGAATGTTGATTTGAATATTAATTTGATGAATTTAATGCTAACTAGATGAATTTGAATTTGTTGAATTAAATGTTAATTTTGTGTCAATTTGATGAATTGAATGTTAAGCGAATAAAATTGAATATTAATATGATGAAATTGAATTTTAACTTATTATTAATTTGATGAATTGAATGTTAATTTTGTGTTAATTTAATGAGCTAAATGTTAATTTATTGTTAATTTGATGAATGGAATATTGATTGAGTAAAATGGAATATTGATTTGATGAAATTGTTTTGGGCGGGGAACGAAGTGGAGAGATATGAGTATTCTGTCAAATGTTAATTGGTTCAGTCGATAATATTTGTCGATATATTATTGGCTAATCTTGGATTGAATCCACATAACGAAACGAGTTAGATAAGGTTGACCATGCCATTATGATTGATCCTAATTTGTTACATAAGGATTGGTCATGGCAAACCATGATTGATCCTTCAACATTCTGCTAACCGCA